GAGATCCTTCCATTGGAAGTGTGTAGTCTTAATTAAGAAGACAAAAAGTTACAGAAAAGAGAGAAGAAGAGTAGAGTTGGGTATCAAGATGGAGATCAGTGTCCATGAGTTTCTCAGTGTTGTTGACTAGGTGGCAGGCAATTGTGGGCATTTTGAGAGCTGGGAGGAAGCATGGTGGAGACTCATCAAATGTGAATCCATGCATGAGGTGTGAAAGCCTATGGAAGATGTGAGTGAGATGTGGTCAAAAAGTGATTTATAGAACTTTAAATATGTCTGATTAGAACATTGTAATCTTCCTTTCCACTGGAAGAGAGATGATATAGAACATTTCATTGCCATTGTGCGATACATATATAGTGTAGAGGTATTTCATGCATGTGTGACTAGAGATACATACCATTGGATCCAGAGATCTTACCTGTAAGAAAACTATTGAAGAGTCCCATGGGTAAAATTAGTCACACTGGAAATTACAAACAACTTTAAAAAGATATGTAGTCTTTCTGTAAAGTTTTTATTTCATATCAACTTAGCACAATGGCAACCCTCCCCCCTTTTAAAACTACTAAGTAACAACAGTGAAGTATATTTATCTGGCATGCAAATTTATATACATTCATCAAGGAGAAATATTTTAGAATGTAATTATTCAGAAGAATAATGGGATAAAGCAAACAAAAGATTATTTCTATAATCTAGATGTGATCAGCTGAGCTCAGAATTAAGTAAAGATATCATGAAAACCAAGCAGCCAGAGAATTATATCTTTCAGGCTGAATCCATAAAAACTACCACGTATCAAGGCTCCATTTTGAGGGAATTGGAGATGAGAAGGCAAAGGCTGTGATAAGAAACAATGGGTTTTTTTTAATTGTAAAGGAGAAAATAGACATGATTATATGTTAAAGAGACAGTCATTTCGTAAACATTAAGTGACATGACAAAAAAGTTATTGAAGCCTATGTGTTTAAAGAGTGGAGATCAGCCTTAGCTCTGCTGCCTAGTTTTATGACCTAGTTCTGTTCCTTTATCTCTTCATGCCTCGGTTACCTCATCCATAATACAGGATAATGGCATTTACCTACTATAGTTTCAGTGAAGATTAAATGAGAAAACTAAATACAGTACATAACACAGAGCCTAGAATATACTTGCCACCGCTCATTGAAGAATCTGGAAAAAGCTTAAAAGAAATAGTCCCCGCCCTTAAGAAGTTTTCGTTTTTGTCAGAGAGATGAAATAAAGCTGAACCCGCAAACAGTAAACTGTGTACTGATACATAATAAAGATTATTTGTTCTGTCGAACTGTCTAAATGGGGAAATCAACGAGGTCTGGTAAAATGACAGAAGGTTTCATGGAGAAGGCTAAATAGAGTTTCAGGACGTATCAGTGGAGCTACACCCTGAAGGATGCGTAACATTTGGCTGAGCAGAGACGAAACCATTCAAGTAAAAAGGAATAACATCAATGGTAGTGCACATCAGCACATGAGGCAGCAGGCTTTATATAGGATATGTTTAATAACATCGAAACAATTTCAGAGGATGGGTCCTAAGTTCAAGTCCCGGCTGCACAGTTTACAAGCCATATAATCTCTTTCTGTGCCTCAGTTTCCCCATTTATAAAATGGAATAATGTTTGTACCTGCCTTCTTGTCATGGGGGCTAAATGAGGTACCCCAGAGACTGGTGTTATTTATACTCTAGTCTATTTATCAATTATATATTGATGCCTTTTGGCCTTTTACCACATAATAGTCAAACATTCAGTTAGTATTTTCTGTTGCCATTTTAGAGGAAGGTTTGATTTGGAAAACTGTTGGAAAGGTAGGACGGAGCCAGACTGTGAAGAGCCTTCAAACAGTCAGACTGGGGAGTTGTGCCATGATGAGGTAGGAGGGCTAAGGTTATTATGGGAATTCGTTCAGGAATTACCGAGGAGTAAGTCAGAAGCACAAGAAAGGAGAGGTGACTACGAGGAGGATGTAGCCAGAAAAGAACAGTGAAAGGTGATGAAAAAGAGTTAGCTCATACCTGATTCTCTCTTCAAAGAAGGAGTTTAAACCTGTGGCAGTTTAAGAAGGTAGTAACAGGAAGGAAAAATGTCATAAAAACATAAAAAAAGGCAGTGTAAGTTGCAAGCAACAGATTCACTGATGGACAAGAGACTTCTTTTTTAAAGAACAGCACAGTTTTACCAATGGATAATTATATACTGATGTCTTTTGGCATATTAGGTTATTTCATTCATCTAACCAACATTTATTACACCATTTCCCAAATAATTGTAATTAGAGCATGCACAGTAATACGCCATTTATTTAAATGTAAAATTGAGAAAGTTAATTTAATTGCAGCAAAAAGATGGGCTAAATCAATAAATGTACTCTAAAATGTGTGCAACAGTATGCAAACTATGTAACCTTTGGTTGTACTGGTATAGATGATAATTAACTTCGGGACTGCTAAAAAAAGATTAATTCTGTAGGTAGAGAATGAAAGCTTACTAAATATTTGTAAATAAATCTCTTCCTTTTCATGTTTCTGGTAGTCAGCAAATTAACTGCAAGGACTTGGAGGAAGCAATAGGAAAAAAATACATAAAAATGGATGTTTTGGCCAGGCACAGTGGCTCAGGCCTGTAATCCTAGCATTCTGGGAGGCTGAGGCAGGAGTATTGCTTGAGGCCAGGAGTTCGAGACCAGCCTGAGCAAGAGCAAGAGCCCGTCTCCTATCTCTACTAAAAATAGAAAAATTAGTCGGCCTCGAGGCATGTGCCTGTAGTCTCAGCTACTCGGGAGGCTGAGTCAGGAGGATCACTTGAGCCCAGGAGTTTGAGGTGGCGATGAGCTATGATGACGCCACTGCACTCTTAGCCCAGCAACAGAGGGAGACTCTGTCTCAAAAAAAAAAAAAAAAAAAAGTGTTTTGAAATTACACACTACAAGTATGATTCTAATGTAGATATTATTTAATCAGGAATAGTTTTGCTCCTCCTTATATAAGATTACATGGAAATTAGAATTGCCTATTTACTTCTAGTATGATGGTAAAGAGTGAGCTACCTTAGATTTGATGATAAATCAGTCTTTAGAGAGTGGATTAGCAAATTTTACCAAATAAACCTAAACATTTAAACTCTATTAGTAGTGGTTGATATTGATAGCAATTTTGTTGTTCTCTGTTTTCCAAGTTTTAAAATAATTACATCTTATAAGTTGAATGAATTTATTTCACATTATATAATTTTGGTCTGAATAGGTCAAAACTATGTTTTCTAATGTCATACCCCAGACATTCTATTATAGTCACCAAAATTATCGATTAGAAAACCCAAAAATAAATGGAATTGATCCAAGTAGTATCAAAGCACCCCAACAATATAAATTACTGAGACAATATAGGTACCACCATTCCGGCATAATTTACAAATGCTAATGAACAGGTCATAGATGCTAGTGCAAAGTTAAACAAGTTTATAAACTCATATAATAATGATTCTCTTCTAGGAGAGAATCATCATCCTAGTAAATCCTTTTCTATGAAGAGAAAAAGAATATCTGGCTGTTATTATGTTTATTAAATTACCTTGTTTCCTACATTAGCAAACATTTTAAGAAATCTGTGTTTATTCAAAATGAGAAATTTTTCTCTTTGTTCTCTAGGTTTGTTGTTTCAGTGGAGATTTGGGATTTGTTTTCCCAAATAAAATTATTCAGTACAATAAAGATTTACCCAGGTCTTTGGAGCTTTGAGCACATTAAGGTATTTGGTATAAATTTAGGACTTTGTTATTTTAATGAAACATCTTTAGGTCCCTGTTAGGGCAACATCACACCAAGCTGCTGCCATTCATTCAATAAACATTTGTTGAATTTCTACATCCAAGCACTGGGTTAAGGCATTGAGATGCACAGAAGAGCCACTCCCAATGTAGCAATCATCAAATGATAAATCACACCCTGCTGGGTGAATCTGCTGACCCCCAATGACATCTCCATCATTGGTTTAGCTTTAGGTTGAAATGAGTTCAACTCCTTTTCCTTTGGAGCCAGACAAACCTGAGTTCAAATCCTGGTTCAGTCCCCTACACAGTGTATCCTTGGGCAATTCACCTAACCTCTCTGATCTTCAGCTGCCTCCCCTATAAGACAGGGAAAAGAATGGCATCTACTTCATAGGATTTTCATAAGAACTAAATGAGAGGATACACGCTAATCTCTTAGCACTTGCCTGGCACATGGTTGGCACTTACTAAGTGCTAAATATTGTTACCCTTTAATATTAATAGTTATTTTGGTGACTATATCAAGGAAAACTATCGACAGCAGTAATCATTACAATAAAATCTTGATCGACTAACCTAGGGGAAGAGGTGTTTTGATTAATGTGATTTTATAATTATATAGAAAGCCATTTGTGCATGAGTCTTTATCATCTGTAATCTATTAGTCCACAACCCTCCTCTCGCCCTCCCAACCATTTTTCCCTGACCCTCGTTAGTATTCTTGGCTTTACATTTTACACAAGTGAGAGCGTGCAGCATATGGTGCTTAAATATAATTTTGAACATATAGCCAGCACACAATATGTATTTACTAGTAGATCATTAAGATTTTGCTATTGTCTCTGGGCCACTATTCAGAGCATCAATGATCAGCGCACACTAGTATCGCAATGTGCTTAATCTGTACTATTTCCAGAATACGCTCTAGATTAATTGAAGCTTCTAGTTATTTTTTCCTGTAGCCTATTTGAGCCACTTATAACTAGTCATTTTTTTCTGACCTCATACTAAAATAATTACACTTCTGGCATCAGTACACTGGAAATAAGTGCTAAACTCTCATTCTATCTGCCTTAGCAGTAAAACAAATTTCTACATCCACTAAAAATATTCTTTTAAATGAGGGACAAAAATAAATATGTGAAACAAGATAGGTAATATACTTTAGATCTCATTAAGAGATCTTACATTCTAAATGCAGCAACTCAGATTTGCAAAAACTGTAAGAGCTGTCTTCAGTGTGCTGAGCATTTAACAAGATTTCCTCAATTCCTATGCAGAAGATGAGTAATGCTGGCAGTTACAAATTTGGCTTTTCTCAACAAGCAATGTATGCTTGTTGCCATGTATGCCTTATGCAACTTTACTAGGCAGAAATCCATGAAGATATGGAAGCAGGTGGGTGAAAACAAGAAAATTTACTACATAAGAAATGACCAAAACACATTGTAGGTGGCCTAATCACTTATTACAAACATGCTTTGGTTCCATATTTTAATATTCTAATTCTTCTCATAGAAGAGTGTCAAATGAGTAGCAGCTGTAATATACCCACATTGCAATTAATTTGACTCTGTTCTCAGTCAAATGCCCTTAGATTCATGTCAGTAATTACACCTAACAGATTCACAGAACCAACAAACTGCACTGAACCCAACTGAGTCTCTAATGACTTTTTTTTTTTAATTATATTTGTTCCACCCACTTTGAATCCCTGAGCCCTTGGGCTGCTTCAGAATCAGGACAAAATCTATTGTTACAGTAAATGTACAAAAGGATTATTGTGGATGAAAACCTTTCAGTGATTTTTAATTTAATTCTACAAGTATTTATTGAGTACCCACAGTGTGCTGAGCAGGGGTGACACACCCTAATCACAGTATTGTTGTCTGATAACTCAGCACCATTAACCTACTTAAGGGGTTATTAACTATCAACCTTTCTCCTCTCTCATGTGTGTCTCTTCTGTAAGAAATAATGCCTCATGCTGCATGTGGTCCCACATGTGTATGTGTGTATGTGTACACTCACACAGGACTATATGCAGCATGTAACATATAGATTTCATATTTTTATGTCATAAAATGTTCCTTCTTCATGAATAGTCAATCCTCAATCCTCATTTACACTCTTCGTACATGAACAATCTATAAAGCATATGATATCCTGACTAGTTAGTGGGAATAAATGAAAAACAAAACATATCTTAGTTTAAAAAAGCAGTTATGCCTTTGTTAAAATGGCATTAGAGAAACATTAAAACCTAAACTTAGAATTCCTGCTTGTCATCTAAATCAACAGTGGGTTTCATATGCTATTTCATAATAGCTCAGAAAATGATGGTACGATTCATTTGGGAATCAAAAATAATTATCCTTTTAAATATGCAGTTAACTATGGATAGCATAATACTTTTATTTGTTTGAACCAGTACTGGAATCTACTTTAAACGTACACTGTTTAAAAAAAAAAGAAAAGTTCTCTCTCTCTCAGAGTAGATGTCTCAGAGCACCTGAATTTGATTTAGCCATTTCTATTTGCTGAGCCCAGGACAAGGTTGCCCAGGAATTATTTGGAGCATCATTAAATAGGATGGATGCTTATAGGTCTAAGAAGACTCAGGCATAACCCTGCTGAGGATTGGACAGGGTCCAGGAGGTTCTTTTTAGAGCTGTGTAGTTCTGTAGTATAAAACAATTGCATTGTCAGAGTATGCTGGATTAGGCTGTGTTGTAATCTGAAAATCATAATCTTGTTTTGTTTGGGTGTTTAGTTCCTCATTTTTATAATGTAATTGCCACCCCAATTTTTAAGCTAAAAAATTTATGCAGTTGAGTGTTTGAAGTTGAAGTTTTCCAAATTTTTTGTTGATCTCACCAATATCTATGCATTCTTGGTTGAGTTGCTACCTTGTCTGATTTTCTAGAACAGTATTTCTGTGAAAGGAAAATGTGTTCCCTCTAGTCCTCTTTTGTCAAAAACCCTTTGCACTTGCTTTCTTTTGCCAATTGAACCTTTTTTGAAATGCATCAGTGGGGAGAGCTTGCCTAGCCTTTGCTAGACAGGAGTAGCTGTAGGTGCATTTAAACAATCCAACTTGAAAAGGGGATTTCTGTCTTTTTATTTGAAAACAATTGAAAATGAAAAGTGTATGTCTCAGGACAGAGTGCTTAACCGACCTCGTTCTACTGAACTTCAGTGCGGTATATGAAACTGCCTCCCCTGTGTCTTCCCCAGTGTTTTAAAAAGATGCTTTACTTGTTCGAGGCAACTGGTTCTGAGTCGGAGCTCTATCCAGCATAACCAGAATCTGTTATGTTGTTAAGTCTTGTTATATCATTCTTTGCATCTCTTTTTCTTCTCTCAGAGAGTCAATACAGCTTTGTTCTAAGGGTTATCTGATCGTATTTTGAGGGGAAATCAAGATTGAGCAATAGAGATGGACTATGGTTACATTAGGCTTTAAATGTAACCACACTCCTTCCCCCGCAGAACATTCACATGCAGCCTGTACTTTTAAATAATCCTGTAAGCTCCTGTGGCTAAAGCACGTAGAAAGCAATCATTTGCACTTGAGTAACCATGACAGTAGATGAAATCCCCAAAAGATACCTCTCCCCCCATGGGTGGAAATCAGGGTGGGGACAAGGGGGTGGCAGTGTAGTTTTCAGCCTATACTCCCTATCCTCTCTCTCCTTTTAAGACCCTAGAGGAACAAAATAAACATCCTCACAAGAAAATGAATGGGGTTTCCCTTTTAAAATCACAGATAATTATAACCTCAGGAAAAGATGTACCCTGGACTTTAGTAGTTAACACTTCTTCTGAAGGATGCGATTCTTTGAAGACAAAGTAACTGAGGACTAAACGGACGCTTGCATGCCACAGTAAAACCAGAAGACTGTATTATCAAGGAGCCATCTCAAAACTACTCAGACAGTAGCATGTCTTAAAGGAAAAAAATGTATTATTTAAATGGAAAACAGGACCATATGCCAGGATTTGTTTGTTTATTTTTCTGTTGTGTTTGTTGTCATGTGTTTCTGTTGTTGTTGGTTTTTGAGTGGGGAAATAAGAAGCTAGTTGTTTGTCTCACACATATGGTAGGGAAAGGAAACCTTTCTGTGGAAGGTAGC